AGACAAATAAATAATTGCCAAGTTGAAACGGACAGAATTCAAGGTATATTCACACTCCGAGGCAGGCAATAAGAATCTGGTAACACCAATACTGGGAGCCCCAATTGGGCCAGGACCGGCCCGTCTTCCACCAACACTACTTCCAAGGCCCAATTGATCCAAAACATGATCTTTAGACAACTCTTTCGATCCCCGAAAAACATAAACCTTCGACATATCCGAAAACCCTAGCTCATGCACCTGGACCTGCGTACCATACGATATAAACCCCACCATAGCATTATCCGGTAACATCCCGATCGCCCGTTTCAATGCCGATTTCGCAAATTCCAATTCCTCCTCAAGCATACACGTGTCCAAAACGAACAAATAAATTGGCGAAATCGAAAAATCTACCGGGTTAGGGTTTTGAGTCGGGTTCGGGCCCGGGTTAGGGAGAGTGTATTGAATTGTGGTGAATTGAGGATAAAGTTCAGCAGGAACATTAGTTTCATTAATTCCCGAATAGTGATGAGGAAAATGGTTACGTTGAAAGCAAAACGGACAGATCCAAATTAGGGCTTGAAAATCAACACGAGCAAAGGGATTGAGAACTGAAGAGCAAGTTTTGCATTTAAGCGGCGGGTAAGAGAGCGTGGGGAGATCGGTATGAGGACGGATCAAGTGGATCGAGGTAGCGATTGGGATCACGCACTTGCTTGATTCAACTTTTGTTCGTGGCCATGCGTTCCATGTCATTCGAACTCCGTCAATCCCTTCTGCATCTGGTTGTGCCATCTCTGTCGCCATTGATGAGATTCAAAAGACCTTCCCTTTACGATTTGAAATTGGTGTGTTTGTGTGTGAATTGGGAACAAAATACAAAGAGAAACTGTGTGTGTGTGTGTGTGTGAATTGGCGCGACCCCAAAGGGAGAAAGAGGGGAGAGAGAAGGGGTAGAGGGGTCACACCGAGAAAAGGAGGAGGAAATTCAGTCAAACACTGAACGATGTGAAGAAGGGAGAGATTTAGCTATGGAATAAAGCAAGTCCGGGTGGGTTGTGGTTACACAGGGACTTTGGTTCTGGTAATCTGAATGAATTTGGGAAATTTTTTATTCAATGAGAGAGAAAATTTGTAAAATAATCCTTATGTTTGGAATAGTTTTAAAATAATACAAAGGGTCGTTTCGTAGGCGGGACAAGGTAGAATAAGATGCACGATTAAATTTATATATTATTTGATTGACGGTATAAATTATTATTCGATATAAATTTAATCTCAAATTTAATCATGTATATCTCATCATATCCCATTAAATTTGGGATTATTCATCCTGCCTCCATGTAAAATAAAATAGTCTCTGTACCAAACGATCCCTAAATATACTTCTAAGCAATGTTTTTTGAAAAAATGAACACTGATCTACCTCAAATATTTAATGAATTTTAGTTGTTAGATTTAATACTATAAAAAAAAATAGGCCAAATACATACACAGCCCCTTAAATTTGACACCAAATTTCACTTAAACACTTTAAACTAAGGCTTGTTCCTATTGAACATCTAAACTTTCTACAAAATGTTCCTATTAAACACATTTTGCTAATATGTAATAGTACGTATTTTTCACATCTTACAGGTGCGTGAAAAGTTTATCTTGCATATTGTTCACCGAAAAATGCATACTTTTTGGCCGGAAAGTAATCTACAATAATTACCTTTTCTCTAAACAATTTTCAAACTATTTTCTTCTTCTATGGCCATCTCCACCACTTACTTTCCTTTTTTTATATCTTGTCAGCCACCATAATTACCGACTCATCTTGCTCCTTTAAATTCGACCACTGTCACCATCATCATCACCTCTTTCTCCTTCAAATCCAACCACCAACATCACCACTATCTCCTCCCCGATCTTTTTCATTTCCGCCGTCGGCCACCATATCCACCACTATCTTTTTCTTCTTCGAATTCGGCGTTGCTACCACATCATCATCACCACCACCACCACTTCCTTCAAGTCCGATCACTACCACCACTGCCTTCTTCTTTATCAAATCTGACCATTATCACTGCAATTTTCATCCTTTTATCAGATTCGGGCGCCCACCACGACAATCGCATTTTAATATAGGTAAATTTAATTTTTTTTTGAAGAAGAATCGAAGTAAATAAAAGACTAACAGACAAGTTAATGATCGCCTACTATGAGATGTCATTCATAAGACTTGAATACAAAAAAACTTTCATTAAGATTTGTATTGTAGCTAAAGTTGGTTGATAGCAGATTCTGTCGGTGACGGCAACGGTATTCCCTGCCATAAACTCTATTTTTCTCTTTCTTTTTGGGGTCAGATTATTTTTAATATTGCCTATTTTATTTTTACTGACATGTAATTTTTTTATTGGTTTGGTCTTCCATTTTAAAAGAGAGTGAGATTCACGTATTAATGTTGGTTTGGAATTATCAACTTTGTGTTTAATAGGTATATTTTATATGGAGTTCAAGTGGTCAATAGGAACATGCATTGGTTGAGGTGTCTAAGTGGAATTTGGTGTAAGTTTAAGGGGCTGTCTATGTGATGATAGGCTATAATTACGTATTTTAGTCGCTTAATACACTCCAATTTACTGCACTTTAATTGAGTTTGAGCTTTAATCGCTAGTGTTTTGCACTAATTGTGTGTTTTATGCCTTGTAGGAGTGATTTCGAGCTATGTAGATGTTATGGAATAAATTTAAGTGATTTGGAGCTTTGAAATCTGAGTAAAAGCTCAAGATATTAAGCCAGGATCGTGTTCGGGGATCAACAAGTGATAGTTAAGAACGAACGAAGAATCGAGTAGGCATATTGCACACTGTCTAGTAAACTGTACATAACTTTTCACTCAGAACTCCATTTGAGCTCCGCAATATATGGTTGGCAATATAATTCGAAGGGCTACAACTTTCATGTTTTACGTTTTTCCATATTCCAAAAAGAACAGGGTACACAGTACACGACAAGTGCTCGACCGCGCACTGGCCGCAGATGTGAGGCAAAAACTGGCCAAAATCCGCGGCCAAATCCGCGGTTGAATTCGCGGCCGCGGACGTCCTGACCTGGAAAAGTGTCATTTTTCGCGTAGGAGATGGTATAATTGTTTGGGCCCGACCCTACTTGTATATATACATGAAAAAATAGTATTTTGAGTACTTTTGACATATTTTTGACACAATTTAGACCTAAGGAGGCTAAGGAGACTTGGGATTCGATCTAAGAAGGCAAGAACATACTAGGAGCAAGGCGGAGAATTCTTTTACAAGTTTCTCACTTCCTTATTCCTATTTCTATTATTGGTTATGAATTTTAGTATTGTAGTTATGCATACTATTATGAATAGCTAATTTGTTATCTAGGGTTTTGATGGAACCTCTTGGAGGATGAATTCTTGTTATGTTTTAGTATAATTTAACCTTTGAATTTGTCTATTTATTCAACTGCGTGCTTATTTAAGTTGATTGAATAGCCATCGATTGACTGTGCCTATTTATTATGTGTTGCTTGAGAAAAGATACATATTTAGGTAGTTGCCGAACAACATAACTCTTAACGTATGTGAGAAATCAATACAGTGGGTTTAAAGGTAGGTTTAGAAATAACAAATCTTTGACGTGGTCATAGTGAGCGGTTGGATGAAGCCAACTAGCGTAATTGGATCTTTGGGTGACTTGGGAGGAACATATGCATACTACCTGTTTGTTGATTTGCCTTAATGAGTGTTGAATATAAATTGTGACCAATTGTGTGAGTGAAATCTGAGTAACCGCCATTGGGTCACATATTCTGCTCTCCACTGATTGTAGTATTTATTATGTAGGTAACATGCAACCTTCAAGGAAGAGACGCGTTACCGGGGTCTCATCAAGTGGTCATGGAGGCTCATCTCGGGGACGGGCACCGACCAATGCAGCTCAGTTTGATCGTACCAGGTTTGTCTCCAGAGCTGCTCAAGACCGTTTCAGTTTGAAGGCCACTAAAAAACGTGTACCGGAAAGGGGTATTGACAGGGCGTACCTCCAGGATGAGTGCTATAATATGTATCGGGAGTTGATCAGGCACAGATTTGATAGCTTTTTCTAAGAACCGGAGGAGGGTAACTTGATGCTTGTCCGGGAGTTCTATGCCAACTGCCCCCGAACCTGAGGATAGAATATGCATTGTGCGACACACGAGGGTGGATGCCTCGATAGAAGCCATCAGGAGAGTATATCGATTGCCAGAATTTAATAGGGAGGAGAATTTCTATGATACTTACAGGAGAGAACCCATCACATGGAACATGTTTTTCAGAACTATCTGTGCACCTGACAAAGAGGTAGTGTGGTTTGTGCCGGGATTGAAGTTACACTCTGCCTCACTCACTTTTGAAGGAAAGTGCTGGTTGTACATCATCAACAGTCGCTTGATGCCGTCCCACAACACCACGGACGCAAATGGTCCGAGAGCTGCCTTGATCTGGTGCTTCGTGAATGGCCACGACTTTGATGTGGCCAGGGTTATTCAGTCTGAGATGTTCGTCTGTTCAACACAGAAGAGGTATGTGTTCTTTTTCCCCTCTCTGATCACTAGATTGTGTCGGGCAGCAAGGGTGCCTGAGAACCCAAATGCGGATGGCATGGTAAAGAAAGAAGCAAAGTTTTGGGCAGACAAAGTGACCATCGGAAAAGACCCGGTGGCACCAGGGGTAACTCATTGTGACGATTCTAATGAGTCAGAAGAGGGCGATGAAGGGCATGAGGAGGTTGAACCTGCCTCACCCCCACAGGAACAAGCTGCAGCGATTGAAGGATCATCCCAGGTCAGACGGAGTACACGGATGACAGCCTTAGAACAAACACATGGCAGGACTGCGCACTTCCGTCATGGAGTTGGGGGCTAGAGTTGATACTTTGGCCACCCAAAATGCGAAGTCAGAAAAGAAAATCATGGGTTGGCTGTGTGCGCTGGGGAGAACGTGTCATCTCGACCCTGGCACTGTCTCCGATCAAGACTGATCCACCAGGGAAGTTCCTTTACCTCACATTACTTTACTTTCTATGACATGGGGACATGCCATTTTTTTAAGTATGGGGTGGGGGATACTTTGTTGTATGTTGTATGTAGATAGTTTCGTAGTTTATTTGTATAAATCAATTTTGACTTGGCCCGACGATGGATATCATTTGACGAGTTTCTTGAGGGACTAAAGTCGGGGGGAAAAAACCAAAAAATGATTTTCTTTTGTAGTAGTGTATCAATTCCCCATTGGTTTTTCTTTAAATCACGGTTCTTTTCCAAGGTTTTTGTTTGAATCGGGTGTAGTTAGCTTTTTATTTTTAGTTAGGAACTTATGGGCTATGGGCAAAATTAGAATAGGATCCATTAATTTCGTCATGCCTTTAATATAGCGGTTACTTTAGTGTTACACCAGGGTGAAAAATATGCGACAAGTGCACAGCCGCGCACTGGCCGCGGATGTGAGGCAGAAACTGGCCAAAATCAGCGGCCAAATCCGTGGTTGAATCCGTGGCCGCAGACGTCCTGACCTGGAAAAGTGTCCGTTTTCGCGTAGGAGAGGCTATAATTGTTTGGGCCCGATCCTACTTGGTATATATACATGGAAAACTGTATTTTGAGTACTTTTGACATATTTTTGACACAATTTAGACCTAAGGAGGCTAAGGAGACTCGGGATTCGACCTAAGGAGGCAAGAACACAATAGGAGCAAGGCGGAGAATTCTTCTACAAGTTTCTCACTTCCTTCTTCCTATTTTTATTATTGGTTATGAATTTTAGTATTGTAGTTATGCATACTATTATGAATAGCTAATTTGTTATCTAGGGTTTTGATGGAACCTCTTGGAGGATGAATTCTTGTTATGTTTTAATATAATTTAACCTTTGAATTTGTCTATTTGTCTAACTACGTGCTTATTTCAGTTGATTGAATGGCTACCGATTAACTGTGCCTATTTATTATGCGTTGCTTGAGAAAAGATACATATTTAAGTGGTTGCTGAACAACATAACTCTTAACGCATGTGAGAAATCAATACAACGAGTTTAAAGGTAGGTTTAGAAAATAACAAAGTTTTGACG